ATAAAATCATTAGTCTTTACCATACTCAAATATATGCGGTTCATATAATTCGACACCTGTAGACAATCACATCCTTCAGACTCTTTGCGTACAACATCAAGTACGGAGTCGACTAGTTCTGCGCCTTCTGTATAGTGGCCCTTGGCCCAATTATTACCCGCTCCTGACTGACCAAATACAAAATTATCCGGACGGAAGATTTGCCCGAAAGCCCCAGAACGTACCGAGTCCATAGTGCCCGGTTCTAAATCGACCAAAATGGCACGAGGTACATATTTGGCACCAGTAGCTTCATTATAATACACATTAATACGTTCTAGTTGTAGGTCGCTATCGCCATAATAAGTGCCTGTGGCATCAATGCAATGTTCATCAGATATCACTTCCCAAAATTTACCGCCAATCTGATTGCCACATTGTCCGGCCTGTATATGTACGATTTCGCGCATTTTTCAAATTGCCTTTAACACTTAAAGTCTGAAAACTATGAGCCTTTACTGCTACTGCTTGTTATCAGTTATAAATTACTAAAAGGCAAAGAATATTGGATTGGTTGGAAACGAAGATTAGATTAAATTTAAGAGGAGCGTATGAATTGGTAAGAGAAAATTGCAGGACTCTTAGTTCACGTTTTCTTAGTACACTTTCGATATTATATTTGATCACTGGACCAGTTTCGCAATTTAAATAAAAAACTAATTTTTAATACGCTCTCGTCTGACTAAAATCTTTTCAAAATATGTTTTGTGTGAAAAAATTCTGAAAAAAATGCTTTATTGATTGAATTTTAGAAGATACGTTACTACCACAAAATAGTAGAAACAAGATAGTGTTTTTTTGCAAAGTAATTATTGTTATTATTATTTATTTTTACGAAAAACAAAATCATATTTCACACTATAAATATTTTTCTGGTTATAAATAATCTGATTCTTTTACCACGGCTGAAAATCAGTTTGATGTCCGTTGCCAATAATTTTTTGAGAGCACTGCTTTTTAATACGCTTTTATTAGCTTCACTTGTATGTAGGTATGTTTGTAACTTTTTTAAGCGGTACTGAAACCTAGAATATTTGAGCGACACTGTAGGAAAGCGATAGTAATAGCGGGATTCTGTAACCAGTCTCTAGTCTCTATTTGAGACATTTTGTGGTAAAATCTCAATTTGTGACTAGTTACTATTCACTAAACAGTCTCTAGCTTTAGTCTCAAAATATTGCCTCAAATTTGAGACTT